AAATTTATACAAAAAAAAAAAAAAAAAAAAAAAAAAAAAAAAGGATGGTGGTGCATCTGGCACCACGTGAAAAAAGGGAATGGTGCATGGGCACCAACTAAAGAAGCAGAAAATAATACAAAAAAAAAAGGGGGTATGGTGCATCAGGCACTAGAAAAAGAAAAAATATATATATATAAAACATAAAGGAAAATTTGGGGATAGTGGACGGCAAAGAGGTGTGGTGACATGTGTACATAATATATATATAGCAAAAAAAATTTGCATTGAGAGAAATAAAGTTCATTTTTTTATTTATTTTTTTTTCTGGAAATTTTGCATAAATTTGCATTATACATACCTTAAAAAAAAAAAAAAAAAAAAAAAAAAAAAATCAAATCAAATTTACAAGAGGGGATCTTCAAGGACGATCAGGTGCCGCCTCACCACTCGGCAGAGCTCCAGAAATGAGAGGCGCTGGAGGTTGACTGTTTGAAGCCTCACCACTCGGCGGAACTCCAGGAAGTAGAGGAGCCAAAGGTTGATCATTCGGAGCTTCACTACGCGGTACAACCCCAGAAGACGAAGGTAAATGTTGTTGGAACAAACCCACAAACCTCCGATGATCAAGTAAAATCTGACCATCAGATTCCTGCATCTGGTCAATTTTCCTCTTCATGTTTGTGGCATAGTTGTTGTGCGAGCTTGTGCAACTGTTTATTCTCATGCTTGAGCCCCCTAATATCCTGTTTGAGACTCATCACTTCAGCCGCCAACGATTCAACTTGACGGGTTCGAGCAAATAGGCGTTGGGCCATGTTGGACACAGAACCCGCGCACTGCACACTAAGAGCCAAAGACTCCTTAACAGCCAACTCATCAGACCGCCTGGAAAGTAGTCTGTTATCTTTGGGAGTGACAAGGTTCCGGGCCACCACCGCAGCAGTCATATCATTCTTCATCACCGAATCCCCAACAGTAAGAGGACCAGTAGGGGATATGAAGGATGGGCGCCATATGTTATCTGGAGAAGACGGGACTACCTCTTCATCAAGGTTCAAATCAAAACGACGGTCAGAGGGTCCAGACATTTTCAAAGGTGTTGAAGAAAGAAGAGGTCGGACAAATCAAGATCTTAGAAGTGCAAGAAGGGAGTTTTCACAAGCGAAAATTCAAGTGTGCTTTGAAACGAACAGCGTGCCTCTATAAAAAAAATCAGCACTCGATGGGATTTCAGAGATCGAAGAGGCGAGCTCAGAATTCGAAGAGGCCATTCAAAAATCGAAGAGGCAAGCTCAGAAATCGGAGAAGCATCTTGCTTTTCCAGACGCGTCGGCACCCGTCACACGCAAACTCAGCTTTGCGAAAATCACGGGCAATTTGTCGAAGCACCGATCCCAGATATCGAAGAGGCGCCAGTCTTTTTCAACCACGTCATCACCCATCACACGCAAACTCAGCTTTGCGGAAATCACGGGTAATTTGTCGAAGCGCCGATCCCAGTTATCGAAGAGGCGCAATCCTTTTTCAGCCGCGTCAACACCTGTCACATGCACACTCAGCTTGGCAAAAATCACGGGCAATTTGTCGAAGATTTTCGGTGAAGGAGAAAGCACGTGAAGTATACTGTTCAATCATCCAACGGTTGTCGACACGAGTGAAAGAATAGTACATCTACAGGTGTTAAAGAACTTCCTATAACTGTCCATCTTCACCCTCCATAGCAAGGCAGACATACAGAACCTTTCTTCATCTCTGAGAATGCCTTCCCAACGAAGCCTCTTGAGTTACCCAGTGTTCCTTATTCCTTGGGGTACCTCTGCAAGCCAATAACTCCAAAGCAAAAGTATCTCATATCACCAGGGTAGAAAGCAAGAGTATCTCATATCATGCGTTCTCCCTGTCCTTTCCTTTGTCCTTGTTCTTACCTACGAAGACAAGGATAAAGAAAACAATATGCCGGAACTTCCACTCAAACTCAGGTAAGGAACCGACTGCTTGGAACCCTTCCCTGATTGCCTACCTAGCACTGCTCTCGAGTACTCGCCTTCCACTGCTGCTGTACTTTCAAAGAAGCTGCCACATCTGCCTGAAGAACAGATAAGGCAAGTGAAAATGATACCTTGCAGCATGTGGAGACAAGGTGCAGAAGGAACAAGCAGAGAAGAATGCGGTCTCCACGGTCAACTCAGCAGAAGGAGTCCGAACTGAGGAACTCGAGAAGCTGCCATATCTGCCTGAAGAAACAAGCAGAGAAGAATGCAGCATGCACAGTCAACTCAGCAGAAAGAGTCTGAGATGAAGAACTCGAGAAGATGTCGCATCTGCCTGAGGACAGTGAACTTGTTTTGACCCTCAAATTCTTGGGTCGACTTACTAGGCGTTGTGGGCTGCACGTGCCGATTCACCACCCTTGAATCGAATCCTTAAAGATCAAGTCACCAACTGGAAGAAAAGCCCATCAATCTTGAAGATCATACCGTTGACCAAACTGCTCAGGTGTGAATTAGAAAGATTGAACAAAGAAACAGGTTGTCACCTTCACCTCATGCCTGCTTGCCATGTGTTCGAGTCAACCTTCAAGAATCAAGCCTCAACGGCCCTTGAAGAAGTTTCCGGCCAAATTCAAGATCAAGCCTCGACGGCCCTTGAGGAAATCACAAGTCCGATTCAAGATCAAGCGTTCACCATATTTGAATCAAATCCAGTTCAAGAACAAGCTGTGGAAAATCAACAATTGGAGGAATCCAAAAAATCCTCCAACCCAGTTCAAGATCAAAGTTGTGGAAAGTCAACAAGCGTAACAAAATACGTGCCGATTCATCCACTACCAAAGCCAAATATCATCTACCACATGAAGCTCCTTGTGGCCCAATTTCAACCTTCAAGATCAAGCCTCGACGGCCCTTGAAGAAATTCCAAACAAAAGTTCAAGAACAAGCCTCAACGGCCCTTGAAGAAATCTCAAGCCCAATTCAAGATCAAGCCTCGACAGCCCTTGAAGAAATCTCAAGCCCAATTCAAGATCAAGCCTCAACGGCCCTTGAAGAAATCTCCAGCCCAATTCAAGATCAAGCCTCGACGGCCCTTGGATCGACATCTACAGTAAGGGACTTCAAAACGCATCTCCTACACGTGACAATCACATGTATACGACGTGCTTTGAAGTGGGGGCATTTGTAGACATCGAAATTTCGGTAAATAAATGTTGACCGATAAATCAAAGTGTCAACGCTCATGTATTGCATAAATTTTACACGTAGCATGTGACTCAACGAAAATTGAAATGAGTTGGAAAAGTCATCAAATAAGACACGTGTCAACACCTGGCAGAAAACGACTTATTTCGTCTGGGATATTATATTCAAAATTAGGTCTTGGAAAATTCTATAAATACAAGCCCATTTCATTCATTTGGGGGGACCAATTCATATTACACCTTGAAGCTCTGAAGCTCTGAAACTCCGAAGCTCTCAAGCATCCAGGTTCCCGAAGAATCAAGAAAGCGTTCTTCGTTCATCGTTCTTCCAAGATCAAGCCCGACGGCCCTTGGATCAACAATCATCCACCTTCAAGCCCAAGCCCCGACGGCCCTTGAAGAAAGCGTTCATCGTTCATCACTGTTCTTCGAGTTCAAGCCCAAAAGCCCTCGGAAATCCGTTCATCACTGTTCTTCAAGATCAAGCCCAAAAGCCCTTGAAGATCCGTCAATCACCATTCTTCAAGATCAAGCTCAAAAGCCCTCGAAGATCCGTTCATCCTCGTTCATCCAAGATCAAGCCTCGACGGCCTTTGGATCAATCGCACATCCCACAAATCAACACCTTACGGAGATCGAATCAGAGGATCAAAATAGAGAGAGATTGTAACCCAAAATCATCAAATACAAATATTTTGTTTGTGCGCGTTTGTTCTTGTCTCTTTCGTTTCAGGAATTTTCCGTGATCACAGGCAAAACTTCAAATTGCGTCGAATTTTTAGGTTGGAACAAGACAGTAAAACTGAATGTTATTAGACTAAATGGTTAGTCGGATGTGTTATCCTAGTCACACGGACATGCCTGATCTCGATTGTATCGATAAGAGGGCATTAAAAAGGGACTCGTTGAACTTAAGCTATTAAAAAGAGGGACCATTGCTATGATGAACCAAGCAAGAGAGTCCCGAATTCATGGTGTAAAATGATGTTTTTGCTTCGGGCATGGCTCATCTCCTTCGATTTAGTTACCATGCATTTTAGGTCCACAAGTATTGTGCCAAACAAAGTAGCTAAAAGCAGGACGTGGTTGCCTTGCATTCCACGATGGTTCAATTCAACCCAATGGTCCGACTGTCGGCATAAAAAGGTGAATTAATTAGCAACAAGAAAGTCCATTTGATAAGGCAATATGTACCGGAAGGGTAACAAAAGTTCGTACTCCTTTTTGTTTTTCGTTTTCAGTTTTTATATTTTGGTTTCAATAAAATCTTCCGCTTAATTAGTTTTTAAACTTTTTATAGACGTTGAGTTTGCACAGTAACTCAACTTCGTTGGGTGAAGGAAGAAAATTAAAAACTAGACAATATATGGGGAAAAGTGAGGGATGAAGGGTGGAGGAAGATGAGAAATTTTTAATTGTGACGGGAACACGGTGGTACACCACGTGTTTTTATGTAAGTAGTAAAAAAAATTATTTTTTAAGTTATTAACTTTTTGACACACATATCTCACTATTTATGTAATGACACGTGATGTATCATTTCGTGTGACAGTCATATTGAAAAATCTCTCAGACGAGAGAGGCAGAAGAAATTAAAACCTATAAATTGAAAATAATTTGAAGTTTTTTAATTTAAGGTTTTGTTTTATTCATTATCTTTCACTCTCCTTCAGTCGTGCATTCATTTCTATTTGACTTCACGTATTTCTTCTTTTATCTCTAAGAAAAATAAAATATTAAAAAACTAAAACCGAAAAAGTTACCAAGCAGGCGCGTAGTTATCATGTGAACATACGAATGGATAAGGGTTAGACAGAGCACAATGGATAAGAAGCTACTTTCCAACAATTGATGGGTAGTACAAATGATTGAGTGTTGAGCTCTGATGGGATAAGGATGGTACTAGAAGTGATATGACTCAAACGTATTCGGATGTTGCTTACAGTAGAGCTTTCTGTGTGTTAGTACTCACATTTCCACACTGCTACAAAATTTACTATGAACATTAATCCAAAATTTGTGCTCTTCCGGTGAGAACTTCATCGCATTTGAAGAACACTCCGGGAAACTGAGAGCATCAACAGATCTTTGATTAGGAGGACTAGAAGACGAAGATTACTTCTTAACGCTGTTGATTTTCACCGCAACTGGTTCTGAACAGTATGGACAGCTTCCAAATAAGACATCAAATGACCTGTTATGCAAGTATACACAGACATCACAAATCATGTAACCATAAAAGGAAGCCGCGTTTGCCACTAAAGAGTTCACGACTGACAGATACAACCCAAACAATTCTGAATTCCAAAACGTTGCGATGATTAAAATAATTGCTATTGTCCTCGTAACAGAACGTTTTAATGGGATGGTTTCAATCTGGAAGTGCATGTATTTTCTTTGATCATCTGACAGTGAAAATGTTTGCACATGCCATATAGAATGTCAACCGAAAATTTATATTATCAAATATTGCAAATGGCAAGTAAAGCAACACTCATGCATACAGAAAAAGATTAACCATGATGCAAGAAACTTAAACATACTGCCTTCGTGTGGTGATAGAGCGCAACCAGTCCACAAGACATATGCTGTGGAAAGCCTTGTTGCAGCGGGTATTATCGAATGCATAGTCAGTTCCAGTTCCACTCTTATCTCTAAGCTCATCATCAACATTAGAACTGCCAAGTCAATGACTGAAAAAACTCGGTAAATACCTAAGAATGTATACATAGACTTACCGATGGGAAGACTCTGAGCATAACAAATTCCACATTCAACCATCTGGTCATTCTTCTCGACATCAGGGGGCGTTGGCAGTTGAGTCTCCAGAAGACATTCAAGTAGATAATTCATAATTGATAGATAAATACATTATCAGTTCGTCTTTTATTTTCTTCAGTGTTCTCCTCGTAAATTCGAAAGACAGCAGTGTTGTAACAATATTCCCATTATAGCAAAGTTATTTTTGATTCCCAACCTTTAGTCTAAGGCTAATGTAGAGTTCACTGGTGAAGAAAAGCAGAGGGGATGTTATACAAATTTAAGTGTACAAACAGATACGTAGATTCGTCAAAAAGGATGACTCAAAAGTAACACCACCACAAAATTCATATTTGGGCTACCTTCAAAACAAGTATCAAGGCCAGAATAGAGATTCAAGGACAAGGAAGGGATACAATGATTTACCATCTTTTGCTATTTCTTCGCCATCTGTTTCTCAACAAGTTCACAAATGCCTGAACCAATAAAATGACATCTAACACAACTTGATACTCACAATTGAATGAAAAGAAAATAATAGAAAGTAGGAGTTCTAGTAACTGATTGAGGTGCAATCTCACTCTGGTAAAGTTCTAGGATCAACGGAATTAATGGACAACACAATGCAGCAATCATTTTCTGAGAAACAAAAACCTCAACAGATTTAACACAAGAAACAAAGGGGAGAAGAATTATCAGTACGTATGAACTCACCTATAATGATTTGGCAATAGGATACATCAGGGGATGCTTGTTTAGGATCAACAACCCAAAGGGACCTGTCGATATCATCCAAAGTAGACCAAAATGCCTGAAGCGTCTCCAGATGCTGAGTTCAAGGATCAATTGTTGATAGCTTTTAGAAAGCGTCCGAACCCAATAAAATAACTCGACTACTGAGATAGACAATATCTGATGCAACATTTAGTATGCAATTTGAAAAAAACAACAAATACCTTTTTAAACTGCTGCACCACGTCTTTCAATCTGGAGTTTGATGACCATTTTAAATTAAACAAATCTGGTACATTCTGAAGAAGAAACTCAAATATTATTTATCCCTCAAATGGAAAAATGTTAACCATCCAAAAATTTGAAGACGTACTGCTGAAATTGGAGGAGGACTTTTGGGATGTGTTTTATCCAAACAAATTTCCACAACATGCATGCTGCCCTTGCCATCTCTGCTAATCAGATTTAAAAAATTGAGTCTACTATATGATTCAGAATTAACATGTGAACAAAGATAGAAATGAGTGCCAAATTTAAAAAAAATTAAAATTACAAAAAAAAAAAAAAAAGAAAAAAGAATGAGAAAAAGTCATGCCCAACTGCAACAGATTGCAACTACAGCTTCAATGTAAGGAAGATTTTTCCCTAAACAACATCATACTAAAGCAACTACTGAGGAGTAGATATGAACTAGAATAACACTACTGCGTTAAAATTAAAAGGTATATACTCTGAAAAGTATTAGAATTTTAAGTATGATTCATGGCAAATTGAACTTTTATTCTAATAAACTTTTGGATTTGAAACTTCACAAACACCCAGGTAACGTTTTATAATTGCTTTGATACTTCAAAATGGTCTAAAAAAACATGGTCTCCCTAGCATATTCCTGTTATAATTTCCTTGATATCACGAAAGGAAAAAGGTTGAGGCAAAATCAAGAAGAAAAAGCTTGTGGATGAAGATTAACACAGTTCTGAACTCGGTAGCCTGGAAATAGTATCCAACACTTCTCTTTAGATAAAGCACGTTTACTATTCTTTACAGCTTTCTAGTCCATGGATACATATAATCTTCAAACTTTTGATAAATATAGGATTCCGTAATGTGTTTATAGCATAAACAATTTATTGAGACATAACACAAACATGTTTGCTAGCACTAATTCGTTCTGACAACTACGCATATCCACTTCCTTCTTATATTCAAATCACTATAATTTATCTGGAATACTAGAAACCAAATAGCCCGGACCTTTGTATACAAGTTCTCAACATATCCAAAGTAGAAATTTTTAAGTGCTGCTGACACATTCTTTTTCCACTTTGGCATAAGCAAAATGAATCAAGTAAACAATTTTGTGGATGATGAATGTGAATAAGAATATCTTACAATATCCAAAAGCTGGGAGATGTTAGATCTCCACTGAACCTCGCCAGGTTCTCCCATCCAACCTCCTCTATCTGCATTTATAGGATCATCATCAAGTCAAGGATCGTAACCAAACAACATTATAGTGACAAACCCATTCTGCCACTGAATATCAATGAAGAAGCAAAAGTTCATACGTAACCAAATTTAAAAATGAATGTAAACCCAGTCGTTGCTAATAAATTCCACAACGGCTTTCACATAGCTGCTAGTGTTAGAACATCAAGATACAGGTTCATGTGAAGAAATAATAATTATTAACTGCTGCAAGCAAAACTTCAAGCAGATTCTTATGCGTAGTGCTGGTGTTTTCCTAGTTTCAATGGGAAATTAAATTAAACTTTTATAAAAGGAAATAAAAGTTGAAGCAATGAAAAAAAAAATAACTGAAATGTGTGTGCCTGGCCTCTCTGAAACCAGCCTTTACTCCAAAAGGAGAGGTTTGTCCTTTAAATTGGGGTTAAAAAAGTGATTTCCGTACACCCTGGCCTTTCCTCGTTATTTATTGCTTTCAAATTGAATAAATCAATGGATAGTAATTAACAAGGTGAGTGCATCTAGAATAATGAGATGCGAAAATCATTTTCCAAGTCACAAATACCAATAGCATTTTAAATTTACTTTTGGTCCTTAGAAAGTACATATTTTAGAAATTTCAAACATTTAAAACATAATTACTTCAAAAAAAAGTCTAGCAAAAGATGTGATAATCCTGCAAATAAAATATTGGGACACTTTGGATGCGGTCCCTAGCTATCAACATTCTTTGATTGAAACCTTGTTAGTTTTTGGTTTTTGATTGAGGTCCCTGACATTAATGTAATAATGTAAGTTACTATATTTTTTTAATTCAAAATTCAAAATTGAAATTTGTAATTGTTTATATTAATGAGATTTTAAATAAAACCCATAATTTATGGGATTAAAAATAATAAATAGAAATTATACTCTCTATTATATTGTGTGTGTGTGTATACATATATGTATGGGTACATTAACCAAAATTAACAAAAAAAGTTATTGTACCAAAACATGGATACATTCTCAAATCAACGAAAAAGAATGTACCCATATGAGTTTAAACATGAATTAAAAATTTTGAATGGATTTTATATTAAAAAAAGGGTTCATTTTACATATAAAAAATTGATATATTTGAGAATGGGTACATTTAAGATTTAAAAAATTGAAAAATTATATGAATGGGTACATTTAAGATTAAAAAATTGAGAATCTTTTTATATATAAAAAAAAACTAATAGGTACAAACTTAATTTAATTTAATTTTTTATTATTTTGGAAATGTTTGAATTGAAAATTTATTAGAAGTTTAATAGAGGTGTGAGTATTAAACCCTAAATTAATTACTAATTTTTATATTAAAAAATTATATAATAAACATGTAAATTCATTATCACATTAATGCTAGGGACTTGAATCAAAATTTGAGAACTAATAAGGTCTTAGTCAATGAACAGTAAAAACTAGGGACCGGATACTAATTTTTCCTAAAATATTCTTCGTTCAAGGAATTTCTAAATGACCGGCAAGAGATAAAGGGAGCATACTCACCACTGAGTACACTGCACGGTAAAAGGTTGATGCTTGGGCCAGCTCTCTGCATCTCCTTTGCTCAGCACATTCCTGCGCTCAATAACATTTGGGATACATCCATTTATATATAGACAGATAAACCCATATACAAATACAGTACAGCATCCATATTATACTGGACATTGGCTTCAACGGATGAATAATTTATCCTAAATTCGGATTTCTTAACATTATCATTGGGGAATTTTAGCAAGCACTTGGTGAGCATATTCTTTCTTCTTTTTTTTTAAAATACATTTTTGTAAGCTAAATGGAGAAGAAGTACCATTTGGTTCGGAGAGAGAGCCCAAGCGTTCTCATCAACCAAATTGATGTATTGTTGAAATTTTTAGGCTAACCAAAGAACTAAATGTTGATTAAGAAATTAATATGGAATAGTGGGTCCATGCATAACCCCAAACATAGATAGAGATAGCCCAAATTAGTTAGGAGGAGAAGCCTTAGAAATCCAGGTGATAGAGCCTTTATTGCTATGTTTTATCCTAAACAATTCCGGATAATATGATTATATGAATGGATATCTATAATCTGGACGGATCGATATATACTAATATTGTTTTAGACAGTGAATGGTGTGTCTCTTGCCATAAGTGTTATGACAATAAGATAAATATATAGGTGGTCATGAGATTAATAACACTGAACACAGTCAATGAGTCTTTGCATGAAGTTCTATCGACATGTCAATCGAGTGACTCATTAGTTGCAATAATATAAATTAATACTTAGACTTGAGAACAGTCATTGTTGTCATGTGGATTGGCTTTTGACTTCTGTAATTCTACACAACATCACAAAGGCAAGGTTATCGAGTGTATCGCTTAGGTTTATGTAGTGACATGTGAATGTTCAACAATGAGTCAGTCTCTAAACATCCGATATGAAACATGTAAATGCTTTGTTTATGATCTTGAAATTCTTCAATTAGATGTTAAGTGTTTCTGTTACTAAAAGTATTGTCATTGTTAATGCACAAAATCAGCGAGTGTGTCAGTGTTTGGTACAACAGAAAGTGTCAGGTTTGTAACCTTCGCTGAATTGTTCCGGTCACTAGTGTGGATAAGTATGTAAATGGATAGAGACATGGAAGCAAGCACAAGATGTACGTGGTTCACCCAGATTGGCTACGTCCACGGAGTAAAGGAGTTCTCATTAATTGTGAAGGGTTTACACAAGTACATAGGTTCAAGCTCTCCTTTAGTGAGTACAAGTGAATGATTTAGTACAAATGACATTCGGAAATATTGTGAGAGAATGATCTCTATTTATAGAAGAGAGTTTCTAGTTTCATTCTGACATTGACACGTGTCGTGTTGTGACTGGTTTCTAATGTTGACACGTGTCGCGCTATGATTGGCTTCTGATGTCGACACGTGTCGCACTGTGATTGGCGGTATAACGTTGACCAGTGCTCAGTAGTTTCAGGATTGTTCAAGTATGGTACAAACAGTGCTCCCCTAAGTTCCCGAGTGAGGGAAGCTCCTCGGTTGGGGACTTGCAAGATCCAAGCTATTGAGTAATCACGAAACTTCTAAGTACCAAAGTGTGGTATCATTTTCACTTGCCTTATTTGTCTCATATGTAGATGTGGCATCTTCTCTGGAAGTACTTTTCTTCCATCCAAGGGTGGTATCTTTAACCGATGAAGATGCACAAGGTAATGTATCAATTTCACTTGAAGCTTACTTGTAGTTTCGGGCTTGGTCAAGTGCGATACAAACCCTATAGTAGGAGTCTCCTAAGTCGCCAAGCTAGGAGATTTGCCGAAGGAGGTAACAAACAAGGTGAGCAATCATACTTCCAAGCAAGCAACCTGGATCAGAGGTTCGACTTCGGCTTCCGGTTGATTGTTCTCCTTCTCCTTGTGTCGTAAACAGCACCAAGGATAAGGAGAAGCAAATGGAGAAGAGATGATATGAGATACTTTTGCTATTGAAGAAGTAACTTTCCACAGGCTTATTCTTGAACTGGGTTGGAGGGTTTTCTGGTTTCCTCCAGAGTATAAGGTCGACTTAAGAATTTAAGGGTCAAAACAAGTCCATCAAATCTAGAGTACGTTCGATCCTGATGATATGGGATACTTTTGCTGTTGACAAAGTAGTGGATGTATCGACACGTGTTCTGTTACGCTTGTCTCCACATGCTTCCTTGTATCCTTCTCACTTGCCATATCTGTTCCTCAGGCAGATGTGGTATTTTCTCTAGAAGCATAAGATGTTGAAGATGAGTACTCGAAAGCAATGCCAGGTAAGTAATCAGGCAAGGGGTTCCAGGCAGTTAGTTTCTGACTGGAAGCTTGATTCCAAGTGCTGACTGATTGCTCTTTTTCCCCTTATCTTGCAGGTAAGAACAAGGCCAAAGAAAAAGACAGGGAAAAAGCATGATATGGGAAACTCTTACTTTTAACCCTGATGATATGAGATACTTTTGCTCTGGTGTGGCTTGTTTGCAGAGGTATTATCGGGAGGAAAAGAAGTTAAGTATTTCGAGAGACTTTGCTGAGAGTGCCCTCTCGGATGTGAAGAAAAGTTGAGCATTTTTTTTATTTGCAGGTCTGCCTGGCTGTGGAGGATGGAGGTCGACATATATAGGAGTCTCCCTAACAACAAGTAGTAGTGCTATTCCTTTACCCTTTTTGGTCATAATAATGTAATGGGAGCTGCAAGCTTCACGTGTTTTAACTTTGTCATAGCACTTTGAAAAAGTGGTCTGTGGTATCTGGAAAGTTGATGTTGCGTGTGAAGATTGCAGACAAGCTTTATCGAAGGAAATCTGGCTCTCGAAGTTTGGAGAGCGGTGCCTCTTCGATTTTCGAACAAGCAATCCTGTCGGGGATCTAGCTCTCTAGATTCAGAGAACGGTGCCTCTTCGATTTTTGAGAAAGCAATCTTGTTGGGAGTCTGGCTCTCGAGATTTAGAGAGCAGTGTCTCTTCGATTTTTGAGAAAGTAATCATGTTGGGAGTCTGGCTCTTGAGATTCGAAGGGCGGTGCCTCTTGAATTTTTGAGCACGTAATCTTGTTGGGAGTTTGGCTCTTAAGATTCAGAGAGCGGTGCCTCTTTGATTTTTGAGAAAGCAATCTTGTTGGGAGTCTGACTCTTGAGATTCGGAGAGCAGTGTCTCTTCGAGTTTTGAGAAAGTAATCCTGTTGGGAGTCTGGCTCTTGAGATTTGGAGGGTGGTGCCTCTTCGATTTTTGAGCAAGCAATCTTGTTAGGAGTGTTTTCTCAAATGTGAGTAAAGGTTGGGCATTTTTGCCAGTCTGCCTTGCCACGGAGCACGGAGGTTGACATACATTGGGACTTTCTAGTTATCAACCAGTGGTACTGTTCCTGTACCCTTGTGGGTAATAGTAAGGTAGCTGGACCTTCAAAATTTATGTGTCTAAACTTTGTCAAAGATCTTTGGCAAAGTTATCTGTGGTACCCGAGGAGTTGATGTTGCGTGTAGAAAGTGGTGCCTCTTCGGAATCCAGAGAGTGGTGCCTCTTCGATTTTTGAACCAACGGCCCTGTTGCCCTTTCTTTTATAAGGGCACCAATTGTGTGCAAGAAGTACATTCAGAGAGTTATTGCTTGTAGGAAATTTCCCCTTACTTTAGAGATTTATTGCACCTCATTTCTCCTTCATCATTTCTGAGAATGTCTGGCCCATTCGACCGTCATTTTGACTTGAACTTTGGTAAAGAGGCAGCCATGCCTTCTCAAGACAACATATGGTGCCCATCTTTCTTATCCCCTACTGGTCCTCTTACCGTTGGGGACTCTGTGATGAATAGTGATATGACCGCTGCGGTGGTGGCCAGGAACCTTCTCACTCCCAAAGATAACAGACTACTTTCAAAACGGTCTGATAAGTTGGCTGTTAAGGATTCCCTGGCTTTCAATGTTCAGTGTGTAGGTTCTGTGTCTAATATGGCCCAACGTCTATTTGCTCGAATCTACCAAGTTGAACCATTGGCAACTGAAGTGATAAGTCTAAAACAGGAGATCAGAAGGCTCAAGCATGAGAATAAACAGTTGCACAGGCTCGCACATGACTATGCTATAAACATGAAGAGAAAGCTCGACCAACTGCATGATCTGATGGTCAGATTTTACTTGATCATCAGAGGTTTGTGGGTTTGTTCCAAAGGCATTTATTGCCTTCGTCTTCGGGGGCTATACCGCGTAATGAAGCTCCAAATGATCAACCTTCGGTGCCTCCTCCTTCTGGGGTTCTGCCTAGTACTGAGGCTCCGAATAATCACCCTCTGGTGCCTCCTCTTTCTAGGGCTCTGCCGACTGCTGAGACTTCTCCTGAGCAACCTTTGTGAAGGCTCCCTCTTGTTTGTTTATTTTGATTCATGTATATGTACATATTTGTAGCTTATTGGAGATATCAATAAACAAGCTTTACTTCATTTCAACGTATTGTGTTAAATACACCAAGGCCTTCTTCACTAAGTTCTTTGAATTTTTCCTTTTGTTGAATCTTGTATGTTGAAGCTTTGTGAGTGAAGCATGTAGATTAAGGTGGTGCTCCCTTAATTTCCTAAGTGAGGAAAACTTCTCAGTTGGAGACTTGAAAAAATCCAAGTCACTGAGTGGTCGTGAGACTTCCAAGTATCAAGGTGCAGTAGCATATGGTAAGAGTTCCCCAAGTCTCCGGTCAAGGGAGTTGACGAAGGAGGTGTCTTGCTAGTAGCCAAGTTTCCAAAGTAACAAAACTTCACCATTTTCCTTTCTAAGTGGTAGCCTAAAACTCCTCCTTCATATATATTTGTTATGAAAGTTGTTAGGCACAAAGAAGAGGAGGCCTAGGCAATTTTTTTTTTTTTTTTTTTTGAATTTTCAAATTTCCGAAAAAATATATATATATTTTTTCAGCTTTATAGGTGAAGCTTTGTAGGTAAAGCTTTGAGGTTGAAGCTTTGTTGGGTACCATGAATTGATTTTGCTTCACACCACACTATCTTGATCAAGATAGTGTGAAGCTTTTGTAGGTGAAGCTTTTGTGTTGAAGCTTTGTAGGTGAAGCTTTTGTGGTGGGTAAAGCTTTTGTGGTGGGGAAAGCTTTTGTGGGTGAAGCTTTTATGGGTGAAGCTTTTGTAGGTGAAGCTTTTGTGGTGGGTGAAGCTTTTATGGTAGGTGAAGCTTTTGCTTTTGTGGTGGGTGAAGCTTTTGCGAGTGAAGCTTTTGTGGTGGGGGAAACTTTTGTGGGTGAAGCTTTTGTTGGTGAAGCTTTTATGGGTGAAGCTTTTGTGGGTGAAACTTTTGTGGTGGGTGAAGCTATTGTTGGTGAAGCTTTTGTGGTGGGTGAAGCTTTTGTGGGTGAAGCTTTGGAGTTAAAGCTTTGTAAGTGAAACTTTGGAGTTGAAGCTTTTGTTAGATACCACGAATTGATTTTGCTTCACACTATCTTGATCAAGATAGTGTGAAGCTTTTGAGAATTTGTAGTTGTCCTCCATTAATGAAGTTTTTGTTGGTGAAGCTTTGCTGGGTACCACGAATTGATTTTGCTTCACACTATCTTGATCAAGATAGTGTGAAGCTTTTGAGAATTTGTAGTTGTCCTCCATTGATGA